CAAATAAATTACTGACTGTTGGAGTGTGATTGTTTCTTGCTTGTTAGGTTTGCAGATGTTACACAACATAATGAAACGATCTCAAAGGGAATTCAATAAGATCCCAATTCTCAGAAAGTTGCTTAAGGTAATTACTTTAGAATTTATTCAGTCCAAGTAAAATTTACTGACTGATGAACTAGCTCTTTTAGCACTACCAGGATTTGAGAGGCTGCTGAGAGAAATTTTTATTTGTTAGTTAATCTTGATGGAATTGGTTTGAGCAATAAGTTGAAGTGTCTTAAAAATGTACTCAACTATTTTGGCCCAAAGTGTTCTCTTGGAAATGCTCAGTAGACTCAACGTGACTATTAAGATCTTATCTAGCTTTTGGCCAGAATATGTCAACTGTTTTCCTTTCTACAGGTTTTGGAGTATTTGGCTGCGAGAGGGATTCTTTCTCATGAGCACATTAATGGAGGTCCCTCTAGACCAGGAGTAGAGAGGTTAGTATATACTCTTTCATTTCACATACATGGAAGGAAGTTTTCAACTTACTGCTCATTAAGGATCTAAATGGACTCCACTATAACTTATAGGAATCACAGCATGAACAAAAAGCACGAAAACTCAACTAGACAATGCATAGATGCCTTCTGTTGTATAGTTTAGAAAAGGGAAAGAGATAAAATCAGGATGACTACGGAAATCACTAGATGGGAGATTCTAAGGGTTCTTTTGGTACAAAGATTAATAACGCAGGGATTAGTGATGCATGTGTTATCTTTTTATCAAGTGTCTGATTCATTGCTTCCCACCTAATCTTGTGTTTGGTTTAAAACTCTACAAAAAGCTCTTTTCCAATTATATCCTTGAATTATTATGTGATTTCTATTTCATGTAATTGGGTTAAGGTAGATAACTACTACCGGACAATATTATTTTTTGTAGCCTTCTAACTAGCAAGGAAAAGCGTGTATTTTCTCATTTGAATTATTTGGTGGTAAATAATTGTCATCTTATAAATTGATCACTCACAAAACCTCAATTTTCAATTTTTACAAAATAGACCATCTACTTTAAAAAGCAAAAAGATGGTAAATTATAGTAAATCTATGTTTACTCATAAAAATTGCGAGTTGTACTTTTAGTATGTATGCAATTTTATAAATTGTTCAAAATACAAATAATCAGAAAACTGCATATATAACAACAAAATAATACATTCAATTAAGATTACAAACATCATGTGGTCATATATCTACCTTTTGAATTAGTAAATGTTAAATAACTCATATTTCAAACATTGTGTTGACATGTATTGGATTACTTTAGCAACGAACAACTCTCTCTATATAATAAAATTTGTAAGCTAATTTATTTTAATAAATTTACCAGTACAAATATAAAACATAAAACCAAGAAAATAGACAAAATGATTAAAAGGATTAAGGGGTAACTTTACCTATATAAATCCCATGGTATCAAATCCTATGTATTGCTAATACCACCAAATGGAAAGTATTATACGCGCTATAATATACCAAATAGGGTGTATAACTAATGTATGTATTTAGTTATACGTAGGTCCAGAACCCCTACCGAACCTAGTGATCCCTTGTCTCACCCTATAATATACCAAATAGGGTGTGTAACTTATACACACAGGTCCAAAATTCCTACCAAACATAGTACTCCCTCTTTCCCAGTTTATATGACTCACATTCCTTTTTTAGTCGTCCAGAAAAGAATGAGACGTTACTATATTTAATAATAATTCAACTTTATGTGCCCATTTTATCCTTGATGAAATGATGTATAGCCACACAAACTTCTATCACTTATTTTAGACCACAAATTTAAAAATTCTCTCTCATTCTTAGTTATGTGCCAAGTCAAACTTACTCATATTAATTGAAAAGGAGGACTACTAAATAATACCATACATAATACACGAATTATTTCTCCTAATACACTCTACCAAACGATTCCTAAATGTTCAAAGAGTTGCAACTTGAATTTTTTTTTTGGTTTGAAATTGGAGATGAATGGCTAGAATTGCATCTTGTCTTACCCTCCCTTTTTTATGTTACACTCCTTTTTGCAATTATAAACCTTAAGATGTCCATTCCAACTCACCCAGTTTCCTCATCGAATTGGAAAGAAGAAAAACAAAGAAGTCTCTCATAGTTGAAGCGTTTTAAAAGCCATTGCTTCGACATTTAAAGTGCTGAAGTCTTGTGCTGCCAGGGGTTATCACATCATAGGTGAAACTATGCACTCCAAATAATGATGTGCAATGTGATCTTAATGAGAAATAGTTGCTAATTGATTCGTAACATTAAGGATGTAAGAATATTGGCATTAATATTTTTTTGAGAGAAATAGTTGCTAATTGATTCGTAACATTAAGGATGTAAGAATATTTGCATTAATATTTTTTTGAACAGGAATATCGGCATTATATATGTTGAATGCTGGATTGGGTATTTCAATTATAATTTGATTTAAGTGCTAAAGTTATATATGCTTGTTATTTTTGATGTTGCATGAATTGCACGCTTCACTTTTAGCTTTCACTTAAAGTCCCATGAACCTTGTCACTTGTTTGCTAATTGCTTTCAAAAAACACTGTGATAGTTGCCTTAGGTATTTAATCTACGGTTGCACCTACCTCGAAGGACTAAAAATAGCAATTGTTTAGTTAAACATTCAAATATATGATTCCATATCTAGACTGCTTATATTTCACACATCTTCTGGGAACAACTCCTTCATCTTTATGAATTTATACTTTGGTTCTTTTTTTAAAAAAAAGAAATATTAAGATTGTTATTCTAGACAAGTTAGCTGTGGGCTGGTAACTCAGTTTTGAAGTGACATGTCACTGGATTGTGAAGTGATGTGTGTTTGCCAACAGCATGTTACTTTGACGTTAACATGCATATACTAAGTAATAACATGACAGGTCAGCTAGGACGTGCTACTTTTGAAAGGTCACATGAACTATGAATCGGTAGCAAAAAAAATATAAGAGCATTGAAAGGGTAAATATTTAAGCTACTTTGATAGGTCTGCTAAGATGAACAGTGAATCAGTTTTAAAAATATGAATAAATAAGAATTATGGAAACATGAATATGCTGCATGAATAATGGCTGGATGAGACCGAAATAGTTGTTGGGTGCGGGAATAGTGGATGAAATAGTATATTCAATGCTTAACTTTTGGCCATATTTATCAAGCGAAAACTTGAGATTCCAAAATTGATACTGAAGTTATGTTTGTTTCTCTTGCAGCTTTAGGGTCTCAATTTTGGGATTGACTGAACACATAGACAAACAGGTAACCTGTTCTTGCTTTATGCACCACTTCATTTCATCAAGTTGTAAATGGTATATTTATTAGGGAAAAAGCTTGATATATCCCTCAACTTTGTCTTTTAGAGTTGATATACCTTCGTTATGAAAGTGACTCATATATACCCTTACCTATACCCTTACCGTTGTACAAATGACTCACATATACCCCTTCTTTATATCCTACTCTATTCATTAAGTCAATGTTAAAAGAAGTTCAAAGAATAAATGAAAATTTTGAAGGAGTCGCCACCTAATTTTTGGAAAAAACTAGGAAAACATTAAGTGATCTATGAAACCATTAGATTCTAGGTAAGGGGTTCAAGTGATTTCGAAGGGAAGGTGTTAGGCATCCTTCGAAATCCACAACTATAGGTCCCGACTGAATTCATTTTTTTCAAATTGAGGAGGAGATAAAACAATATACAAGTAAAACAATCATAAAATATAGACAAGTACTAAAATAAACAATAATACAAGAAACGGCCTAAATTTGCCTATTGTCAATAATATATAATAATGAGTCAAAAATATTGTTCGAACTTTGTTCGAAAAACATTTAGTAAAAGTGTTAGTACTAAATAAATACGAGTAAAAATGAATAACTCAATTAATAACTTAAAAAATAACAATCCGTCTTATTAACATGGAAGACCTTAGAAATAGACGGTAATTTCTTCATCCGCCATTTTAACAAGTAAATGATATAAACTTAACTAAATCTTCGTCTTTTACAATGTGGAGGCCTCCAAAATCGACGGAAAGATTTTTTCATTGGCCAATATTTAACTTCATTCAACAAGTAAACTATGAAAAATCAAAAGACTAAAACAGAGATAAACATAATAGGAAAGCTATAATATAAAAATAGTCAAAGCACGAAAATAGCAATGAACTAGTGACTAATAACATACATAATTAATGGCAATGACAACGAGCAAGAAAACATTGCAAAGAAAAGGCTCAATATGAAAATAATAAGCGATAATCGGAGCAACATGGAACTTACTAAAATTAAGCTTTTCAACCCAATCAACACCAAATTAGCAAAAAACAATATAATAGTGTCTGGGGCAACAATAAATGACATTAAAATAATTAAATAAATCTGGAAACAATCATTAAAGGCTTTGCTAGGAAAGGTCAAAAGCAATCATAAAATTAAGAAATAAACTCTACTAAATAACAGCCAAACATCAACATAGTAACGGGAAAAATATATAATCAAATCTATAATACTATCAAAATTTAATATACAATAACTAAATCAGATAACCATATATAATTAGCTAAGACATGGAAACAAACAAACAGAAGCAAGATGTAGCAAGAAATATACAAAAGGAATCAATGTAAATAGAGACAAAGAATTTGCATAGTTGATAGATCTCCGGTCAAATCTAAAACGAATAAATCAAGGAAAAGTAAAGGGAATAGGAGGAGGATTGGTTGGAACTCACCGGAGAAGAGAGGGTAACAATGGTGTTGGGCTTGCCGGAAACTCGAAGTTGCTGTTGTTTTCTTGAGCAAAAATCAAGTCACTAGCCAGAAAATCGTGAATCCAATCAGATCTGGAAGCTCTAGGGGTGGTCACTGGTTGTCTCTTTGTTTGGAGTTTCGGGGTTTGTCGGATTTATCATTGTTGCAGCTGGTTGTTTGCCGGAGTTGAGTTTTGGAGCGTTGGGAGTTTGGTATTAGCGACTGTTGGAGTTCAAGCTTGCTGGAAAATGGGTCTTTGGGTCGAGCTCGTGAAGGCGGCGAGCTTTGGGGGGCTTTTTCAGACAGTTGGCTAGAACTGGTGGGGGGAAATGGTTGCTCCATGGTGGGGTTTTGGTCTTTGTGGTGGTGTTTTTGGCTTGGGGTTTTGTATTGCCGGAACCTCGCCGGATGTGAAACCCTTTTTGTGGATAAGAATTTGAAAAATTTTACAACCCTAAAATAAATTCACTCCCCTCATTTTTTGACTTAATAACTTAAATAGGAAAACACGAAATGGGATCAAATGATGGGCTTAGGCATTGTGGCCCAAAATTATATGAATAGAATCCTTAAATTCTTTTCGTATTTGAATAAATTTTAGACTCTGCTAAATATCAACATAAATATTAATAAATGTAACAAAATGAACATTAAAAAAATATAATGAACGTAAATAATGACATGTAAAAATGTAATTTTAAAATTAACAAATAAAAAATTCTAAATTTAAATAAATAAGGATAGTTATCGATAAACTTATTTAATATTATTAAAAAAATCATTTTGAACTATTAAATAAATAAACTGAAAAATTACGAATTTTGAAAATGTTAGACCAAAATTGGGTGTCAACATCCCTACCATTACAAAATGAGCTGATATACCCTTCATCTTACGGAAGTGAAAAAGCTAGTTTTAAATCTATACTTTTGAGTTCTAGTTTTTAAAAAATCATGTAGGGGTATGTATGAACATTCTAACAAAGTTCAAGGTATATTTTAATGTTTTTCATACGTAAATTTTTTTTTAACTTCGTTGATTATCATTATTTGAGTTTCTTATTCCTTTTCTTTCATTTTTTAGTGTAAAGAAAAAATTTAAAACTAATCCTTTTTTTGACTTCTAAAACTACTTTTTCGGCTACATTGCAATTTTGTTTTGTATTTGTAAAAAGAAGTGGGGCATATATAATAAATTTTTCTAGAAAAATTAGTGAAACATAATAAATTTGATCATCAAAATAATAAATTTAAATTAATCGTTGAAACAAAAAAGAAAAAAAGGATACGTGTGAGGAGGATCAAATATACCCACTATATGGATTTTTATTTTTTCACGTCCGTTGGAGGAAAAAGGTATATATGAGCCATTTGTATAATAGTTGGGGTATATATGAACCACTTTCATAACGAGAGATATATCAACTCTAAATGACAAAGTGGAGGGGAATGTTAGGCCCTTTTCCCTATTAATTATACTTAATAAAATATTTCAGTTCGATTGATTCGGTTGTATTGCCTCCTCCCCGTACTTTTCTTGGTTTTCACTGCGAATTGAAATGATTCCCATTTTGTGCTCGTGATGATTGGAGAAACCTATGGGTGTATGTAAAGTAAAAAGGCCGATTTTTCTCTCCTAATATAGCATTATAATCTATCCAAGAAAGTTAATATCAAAATTAGGTGAATATAAAGGGGAGGACACACATTACCAATGTCTCATCAAGTCTTATCTGTCGTCTAAAATCTTTAGAATCTGTTTGACCAAAACTTAGACAGTACTCCACACCGAAAAGAAGCTCTACTAATGTGGCATTCAGGGGGGAAGCATTCAGAGGCCTTTATTCTGTGTTCATCATATTGTTTCAAGGGAGATGGCACATATCCTGAACAAGATTGTACCTGTGCTGTTGAGCTAACCGAAAAGAAGCTCTACTAATGTGGCATTCAGGGGAAGCATTCAGAGGCCTTTATTCTGTGTTCATCATATTGTTTCAAGGGGAGATGGCACATATCCTGAACAAGATTGTACCCGTGCTGTTGAGCTTGTTTAGTTTTTATATTTTTTCTCAAAAAGCTGAGGCTTCCAATGACATATTCTTCAGTCCAACAAGCGGAAACCTCTAGAGTTTGGTTTTATGGTTGGAAACCTCTTGTTTATGTTAAAAAGTATGTGCATTTGTTGATGGTTAATTTGTGTGCTGAAGAAAGTGACTATACTCTGCAATTAGCTTTAATGAGAATTAGATGGAGGGAAAGAGGAAACTCTGGCTTTTCATGATGGAACCTTTTCCCAGAGCCGCCCCAGAAAGTAGTGGAGTGGTTAACAGGAGGGAACTAGTTTTAGAGAAAAGGATTCTAGCACCGGATTTCGCATGTCAATGTTGATGAGCAGTTTCTCTTTTGATCTTAGTTAGAAAAAAAGTTACTACAACTTGATAAAGGGGGTCAAGCTAACTTGGAAGGGAGTCTCGACTTTTTACAAATTAGAAGGAACTTTCTAAAGAACTTGGAGACAATTTGCTTTGATGTTTTCTCTTCTTGCTTTTGATTGGGCTACGAGGTTTCACTTGCTCATTTCCTGCAGGCTTGATCTATATTTATACGTGAAGCGTGCTAGGTCCTCCTATCATGCATATTGCAATTGATTCTACTTTTTCCTTGGATCTTCTGTTGTTCTGCTAGTTTGATTATTACCATGAAAATGATTGTTCACGGGAATGTGATGTTTCTGTTTTTATGGTGTGTGGGATGGGGGTTCTAGTCTTTGAAATCTCCTATCTTGATCTGGAGGTCTTGGTTTCATGTATCATGTATAGTACCATTTGTGCATTAATTTTTTTGACATTAATTGATTTACTGTGTTTATGGTGTGTCTCAGGTTCATCAAATTGCAAGGAACTTCAGAGATAGGTGGATACGTAGACCTCTCAGAAAAAGTAGCTGCATTGACAGAGATGACAGCCAGATTGACTTGCGTCCTTCTCCACGGTACAATAGGTGTTCACCATTACAAGACCATTGTGGTGTGAAACCCTCAGAAACAGAAGAATGTACCTCACATTTAATGGTAGAATCTACTAGGATAGATGCTGGTGTCCTTGATGGCTCATCTACTTCATGTGTTGATGGGGCAACCAATGGAGCAAGGAAACGTAAGCGTAAGAGTCGATGGGATCAAGAGGCAGAACTAGATGTAGATCAAAGAATTGAAACCAATGCGGTTGATGATCGAACGCAGGACATAGATGATGCCCCTCCTGGGTTTTCAATCCCCAAGAAGGCCTCTAGGATCTCATGTGGTGCTTCTTCAAGTGCAGATTGTAGTCTCCAAGAACCCAGTTGCAAGAAGCATCCGCATCCAGTGGTCACAGGGCATCTGCAGCAGAGGTTTATTTCACGATTGCCAGTCTCCTATGGAATTCCACTTTCCGTAGTGCAGCAGTTTGGGTCACCTCAAAAAGAAAGATGTGATGCTTGGAGTGTTGCTCCAGGAGTACCTTTTCATCCTTTTCCTCCTTTGCCTACATATCCCCATGATAGAAGAGATCCTATATCTCCTGCAGATAATGCTGCTGGAATTTTTAGCAAGCCACCTCAAAATCCACAACATGGCCTGTCTACTCATAATCCCCCACGCCTCTCTGGCGCAAGCCTCCGCAAGATTCTGTAAATACCCAATTTGATGTTGAAGGTGCTAGGGACTATCATAACTTGTGAAGGAATTATGTTTGACAGCAGAAGTGTATTAATTCAAAAATGGCTGGAGGAGTGCACTGGAAACAACTCAAACGCTAGTATGTGAAGTGTAGGTGTAGCAAGCAGCGAGATTGAATCAATGAGTTTCCATACCCGTAGAATGGAGAATTTGGGGCATACTACTCCAACAGAATCATTCACAACACAGTTTTTAGTTTTAGCTAGCTTCCATAGGTTAAAGCCCTCAGGGGCTTCCAAGTCCTTGGTACTGATAATTCTTTGCCACCAACAGAATTGTAAAGCACTTATTCTGCTTTTGGGGGTCTGAGTCCATAATTCTTTTTTCTCCGATTGTTAAGGTTTAGAAAGAAAAAGAATAGATATTCTTATTTGACGCGTGCTACATTGGCGATATCATTATTTATGCCTCACAGGGGTAACCTTCATATTTTTTTTTTCAACTCTTCAAAAATATGTGTTTCTGCATTTTTATGAAGTTTGAAATAACTGATGTATATTTGGGGTTAAAGGTGAAATCCCCTTTTGTTGTTCTTCTATATCATTTATTTGCAATCTTGGAATTTTTTTAGAAAAAAAAACAAAATCAGAGATTAAGTTGTTTCTAGTCTATACTGCTACCAACACAGTTACATTTAACATTACCAAAAACTGATAAGTCTCTACACCCATTTTCAGGCATTCTTGATGATGTTCAAGGAACTCAAACAACTTGGTAAAGAAGAATATTGTAATCTCAAGTCTCAACAAAGACCAAACGTTCAACTTTCCATGTATATTAACAATTGCAAATGACTTCCATTCTAGTTTACAAGAAGGTACAAACAAAAACAAAGCATAATATTATATCATCTTTAACAATTATTGTTGTAAAACTATGCAACTGCGAGTTCTTCCTCCCTTCCTAAAAAAAACACAAAGAAAGGAAGAAAGACAATACACTGGATAGCAATAAAAGGAGAAGAGTTGGAACTGAAGTAGAGAAGTGCTTGCCTCTCCAACATTGATCTCTCAATATTTTCGGAGCACGCTTCTGACACGGATGAAGCACCATGTTTTCAGCAGCGTCTTTCGTCTTCTCCATCCATCAAAATACTTACCAATCACCTTCTTATAGCTAGGTCTTTGTTTAACCAACACCCAATAGTCTGCTATGTTTGGACGACTGTTTATGTACTCGTTTTCCAAGTTCAAGAGTTCTATTCTAGCTAGAAGAGGAATGAGCATTACATCAGCTAGACTGAATTCTTCCCCAGCTAGATATGATGTTTCACCAAGTTTGAGTTCCACTTCATCAAGAAGTCTTACTAGATGGTTCTCACTTCGTCTCAAAACGTCAGCATTCTTCAACTTGTCGTCCGTATCATATGCCTGTCGTAGCTTACAGTGGTAAGCACTTGCTAAGTCGGGAGATTCAGCCATTCGGGCAATTATTACACGTCTTAGGAATTTAGAAACACATAGCCGATACTTTTCAGGGACATGGAAAAGGGTAAAGTACATTGAATCCCATTCTTGTATTTTATGCATCCATCCAATAACTTCTCTACTGCTAAGATTCAGATTGTTTCCGCCAGACGACACTTTTTCTGCAATTCTTTCAATATACCTGTGCATGTTGGAACAATTAAATATTCTTCCGCTACAAATAACCCCCCAAAATACTCAGAAAATAAGAAAATAAAACTATCATTCAGCCAATATACTTGTACTAATAGACGACACTTTTTCTGCAATTCTTTCAATATACCTGTGCATGTTGGAACAATTAAATATTCTTCCACTACAAATAACCCCCCAAAAAACTCAGAAAATAAGAAAATAAAACTATCATTCAGCCAATATACTTGTACTAATCAAGATGTACATGATCTATCCATCTGTCTATATATATGCTTGATCATAAGTAATCGAAAACATTATCGTCCAGAGAGCAAGGTACAACTCTATTCTTGTCAGGAGAAAAGGTCCCTGGAGGGTAACAACCTGGTGATAAAAATATAATTCATGACTATTCCTCTATTAAATCAACCAAATGATGTTTAATGACAACAGCTTGCAATACTCCTTTTTAACCTTTCATGCTTATACTTTTGTACCTTTTATAGAAGAAAAATATAGCAAGGCGTAGAGAAGACTTACTGAATTATCTCAATGGTATCATATATGATGTGAGAACCATTCTGGAACACAGGAACTTTCGCACTTGGATTCATACTGAAGAAAAATGCATCCATGTTCTTGCCCGTTAAAGGGTTCACATGATGCGATGTGTAATCAATACCTTTCTCTTCCAAAGTAAGTCTCACCTTCTGGCTGTTCAAGGAAAAAGGATGATGATATAACTGCATGGTATTATTAACATAGAATGCCAAGAATGTTATACCTGCACCAGATTACAAAAAAATCATCAGTTTAAAACCCTCCGAATAGGCAGATGCAACAACATTTTCTTCTTCTTCTTTGAGCAAGATAAAGTAGGCAACAACATTTTCTTCTTATGATAGACAGATGCAACAACAGTGAAGATTGTTGTTCATCTACAATAGGCAGATGCAAAGACAGTGACACGGGAGCAGCAATCTAGAATCTTGAAAACATTTATTCCTACAGGACTTCGTGATGACAGGACTAAACTAATTTCGATAAATACTATGAAGATTGTTAGCAACAAAATGCAAGACAGCAGAAATCATATAAGTATATCAGCAAACAACAATAAGCCACAAAACTCATGTTGCCTAGTTCTATTTCCCTGAAGATTAATGACAACTCGGTATTCTGCAATCAATTCATAGAAAAACAGGACCACAAATGCATATGTATAAACTTCATAAGTTATATCACATTCCTTTCTCTTTTTTCACCTTTGTTGTTTTAAAAGTTCTCAATCTACAACTTTAACGATCATCTGGTGTGAGGTATAAGGTATGATATGCAGGGTTATCTCATCCTACTTTTGGTTGGAGGTATCAGATATTTCATGGATTATTTATCCCACCATTTATACCATACCGATGGGGTAAGTTAATCCTGGAATAACTTGTTCCCAACTAAACGACTCCTATAAGCCAAACAGAGCCCACAAAATTGGATACACTAAGCTAGAGTCTGACCATAGTTTTTCAAAAAAAATCTTCAAAAATAGTATCTGTTCCACCACAAAATTTGATCTTCAAATATTTCCAAGTTCCCAAAAACTGATCACGGGTTTTAAGGAATTCCCTCATAAAATTGCAAATTTTTTTCCTAATTTCTAGACACAACTTCAAATCCCAAAACCTCAAAAACTCAAAAAAAATTTAACTTTTAAATCTATAACCAAACAAGTGTATGAACCTACAACTGGTGTGTGGAAGATTCAAACCAATACCAACCAGACTATAAGCTAGACCAGAAAACTTTAAAAATAAAAAATTACTCAATTATGATCAGAACCCACAACTTCCAGAGACTAACAGAACAATCCAGAAACACCAAGAATCACAACAACAAAGAAACCCAGAATTGGTAAAATTACTCACCATTAAAAGCAAGAATTTTTGAAGGACTAAAACAAAAAAGTAGCAAAAACAGAACATACCTAATTGAATCCAGTAGAGAATTCAATTTGGAAGAAAGAGAATTGGGGTCTCTCACAGACACATACATATATAGAGAGAGAGAGAGAGAGCTTAAAGGGGTTTATGCCTTTTTGTAGAGAGAGAGAGAATTTGACAACCGAGAAAAGCAGTTTTCTAAATGCCTTTTACTTGGCTTTCATGGAAATAGGAAAGCGACTACTAATTCCTTATTACTTTATTCATTCAAACAAAGTAATATTATCAAAATTATTTATAATAAAATGAGAGAAAATAATATAATATAATATAAAATTATACCACAGTTTATGGAACGATACATAATGACTGTTCAAACGTATTGATATTAATATGTTTTTATAATTTGTGAAAAAGTATTTCAACAAAGTATATATGTATGTCGTGAAATTTTATAAATAAAATTTGAGAAAGATAATGCGTACGTAAATTTTATCCTTACCTAATAGAGGTAAAAGTGTTGCTTACAGCGGATGACCCTTGTTTTGAATATCATGTATCAAAGTAAAAATAAAAAAAGGAAAAGAAAAAAAAGACAGTGAAAGAAAATAAATTACCTAATAAGAAAATAGTAATAATAACTATAGTATAGTGTGGTAACCCTAACACAATAACAACAAAAAATGATAGAAATTATAAAAGCAAGACATTATAAAACCAGGCTAACCTTTCATCTTAATACACAACTTGCATATCCTTTTATCTAGAGTTATGTCTCTAATAATATAAAATTGTGTCATACTTTTCTAGTCATTGTTCACTAGTATCTTTTTATTCTACCAGTACATCTTCTCATACCCAATATATTCAAGCCCTCACTTCCCCCACCTTATCACCACGGAGGCCACTCACTTTGTCATATATATCCTCATTCATAATTTTATTATTTATAGTATGTATACACATATATATCTTAACATCTTCATTTCTATAGCTTGAATCTTCGGAACATAAAAATTCTTGACTAACTAGTATTGCACCTCATACAATAAAGTGGATTTAACCACCACTCTATAAAATTTATGTTTAAGTTTTATTGGTATCTTTCTATCATACATACTTGAAACTATCTCTCTTGAAAATAACTTATGTCAAGCTTTATTCCCGCATTGCACTTCAAATATTTTAACCCTACTCAACTAGAACCTTTACACTTCACAATTTATCTCCACACCTTCAACCTAGCGTTAACTCTATTACGCGTCTCATCAATCTATACTTTCTCATCCACAAACGGCAAACACCATAACACCTTATCTTGAATATACTACATCAATCCATCAACCAAAGCAAATAGGAAAGGTCTAAGAACTGATCCATATTCCATAGTGCAAACCCATCTCAATTAAGAAGTGCTTTGAGCTTCCTATTACCATTCTAATCGAGACTTGATTCAATCATATATGTATTTTATCGCCCTAATATAAGCTAGCGATAGAGACACCTCTAGCATCCAGACATCTCTAAAAAACTTCCCTCAAAATTTTATAATAAAACTTCTTCAAAGTTAATAAATATTACATATCTAAAGATATTTATATTTCTCCATTATTCTCCTCATGATATTAATGACTAACAATAAAACACTAAAATCGGAATAATACATAGAACATCAAACGAAAGCTTATAACTATAAACTTTTATAACGCAAATCGAAGGATAAAAGAAAAGTATACTATAGATGCCTCAATCATCAATAATAAGGTAACTAACGTCATTGTGATAGAGTGGTAAGTACTCTTTTATTTTTAAAATAGATTTGATTCGAGCCTTATTGAAAATGAAATCATCTTTTTAGTATAAAACTTTTTATCGTAAATCAAAATTTAATGAAACTTTAATATGAATATCAAACACTATTTAAAGGAAAAAAAAACTATAAACCGTCAATACTATAGTCAACTCCAAGTCGTGTGCCAACCTCCGCCGCCCCCTCCCCTTTTTCTTAGTATAAAAAAATAAGTTGAACTAAAAAGTAACTCAATAAACAATAAATATATTAGAAGTTGCTTTCTCCGTCAGCCACGCGGAATGGAATGGTTATACTTTTCAATTTTTTTTAAGATAGTTTAAGTTTGATCGATAATTTATATATAAAATTTTTATTTTTTTAAAATTAAAATTTATAAAATATGTAAAAAAATATTATAAATTATAATATTTGTCAAATTCAAACTGTCTGAAAAAATTACAAAAAAAAAACTTACTATTAAAAATAAATTTATTTAAATCTAAAAATCAGAAAATTTTCACATAAAATAAAATAAATAGAGTATTTCTTATTGGATTTGTGCTATTACTATTCTATTCCAATTTCACCCGTAACAAGTTCATTCACCCAAATTCAACGGGCAACTTTTATTGTTAAAAATGAAAAATCGTATTTAACAATGATATATTTCATCGAAATTCTAAACTAAAAGTTAGTCAGCGATGAATTTCATAATAGATTAGTAAAATAATATTAATATTGAAAAATTACGATATTAAAGTTTTTTTTTTAAGATTAAGATGTTTAAATCTCAATATACTTTTGAGTGATTGAGATACTGTTTCTATATATGAACATTGAATAATTAAAATTATTATAAACATAATTGACATACAGATTTAAATAAGAAATTAATGAAATATTTAAGTTAGAAATTAATCCAATAAAATTAAATCATTATTTTGAATAAAGAAATGAAATATTTATGTTCGTTGGTGATAGTAGAGATAATTTGTAGTGAGGTAATGGTAGATATTAATGACAAAAAAGGTGGTGATGATAGTTATAATGATTGAGGTGATTGGTGTAGTATTAATTGTCATGATAATGACAGTTAATAGTGGTGGTGATAGTTATTAGTAGTTGACGATAATGGTGATGGCAATAGATCACTACAAGAAAATATAAAATTAGCTACGAAATGTGTCAGCAATCCCTAGATAATCTATCGCTAAAACGCTCCTATAGCTAATTGAATTCTCTCGTAATCCACAGGTAAATGTGATTTATTAATAATTTTCATTGTTTAGCTACACAATTTCTTTCTTTCCTTATTTCTCATTTTCTAGTAGTGGATATAAATTATAATGATGGAGATGATAAGTGTAACGATTGACAGTAATAGTTGACACAATGTTCGTTGTCTATGGTGATAATGATGGTAGAGGAGGTTGGTGGTCGATTAAAGTAATGATATATAGTTAATAATGACGATGATAGTTGTGATGATTGAGGTGGTTAATTAGTGGTGGTTAGTTGTTCTTGTGAATAGAGTAATGATAAATATTATTCACAAAAAAATACTTCTTCATAAAATTAAGACTTCGTTCAAGATTTTAATTATTAAGACATATTCAGACCAATTAAATACTTAAATCTTAGTGAAAGCAAATTCATTTAATGATCTTATATTCGTATCGTTCAAATTTTTGACATTTATTAAGTGCAAACACATGAGTCATTGTTATAACTGTATATGTATGCCAACATATACACTTGATATACGACTATATACATTGACATACACAAGCCATATACATAATATACAATATATACATATACACACATGTTTTCCTTTGTATATACCCACATGTCAGGTCTATGTCACAGTATGTATAATATGACACATCAAACACATACTATACTAGATATATCCTACATGTTCATTCATTCCACCATTAAAGCATTGACACAAACTATTTACCCTTTAAAATGATGCAATCAAATCAAATTTATTAACATTAACTAATTTTTTTAATAAATTAATAGTATAATAGGAAGAAAAAGATATCATTTCTTGATTTGTTAAAATTGACAAGTAAAAAGAAAAATCAAATTAAAAAATATTGGACAAGGAAATAACGATAGATGGAGTACCAGCTACCGAATTAATTGTTTTCATCATTGTCTAAATTGATACCCTTGAAGATTCTAAAAAGAAAGAAAGATGTACACTATCCTAATTTAGTGTGATACAGATTATTTTAGCCCTTTAAGCAAAATAATAAATATGATTTGCAATTAGAAAAAAAATATTTTTTTCATAATCCTTTTTGTATCATTCTATTTAAACTTAAACATATTCTAAATATTATCATCAAATCAATTTTTCTTAGTGAGAAAAAAAAGAAGAAGCAAAAAATGAAGTTAGAATTTGGCATTGCAATTATGTTGATGATGATTTTTGTAGCACAAGGGATGACTGATGTACAACGATGCCTTCATGCTTGCAAATTACAATGTGGCAATGATAAAAAATGTTACAATGGTTGTGTAAATAATTGTGTTGTTTCTATGAATGTGCAAAGTCAAATTCACTATTGTAAGATTGGTTGTTTTTCTAGTAGATGTTCTAAATTTGATGTAAATGATAAGAAAAGAGAGATTTGTTTGGACGATTGTTTTAATAAGGTTTGTTATTTCAAAAATTAGTCATGTATTTGTTGCTAAAATACATGTATTGAAAGAACATGATTATTCTTTCTTTCTTTTTTTACATGAATTTTCAGTATAATATCAATCGAAAAAAGATTAACGTGGTGTCCAGAGTTCATATTAGAGCTTTGACTAAATTCGAATTGCGCACTATAGGACCATTCGAAAGTGGCGCTTCTAACAAGATTTTTTTCGTATTAGGGTTCGATCTGATTAAGGGTGAAGCACTCCCACCAGTAATGAACAAAGAAAGTTAATTCACTCGTTCTATATATATTTTTCTGGCCTTAATGTTTAATTACATTTATAGTGTAAAATACTAATAATAGTATATTAACATATACAGGCAGAATATTGATTTGTAAGCAGTTTTATAGATATTGAATCGGCCTTTTCGGTTCTGTTTCTTCATATAATATGTGCAAACGGAAAAATCAAATCGAAATAAATCTAATCAAATCAAACTAATTTCAATTTAATTTCGATTTTTGTTTTAGAATCAAACTAATTTCGATTTTTATTTTTACTAAAACGAACGCTAATAAATCGAATCGAACTTTCTAAACCAAAGTAGTCTAACCAAATGATCACCCCTACACACGACAATATTATTATTAAGATATAAAGTGTATTTCTTATAACATATACCCAACAATGTATCCGGTGAAATTAGGGTTCGAGAAGGCTAGAATGTAAGCAGATTTTATCAAAACTTATGGAGGTAGATAAACTAATTCCAAAAAACCCTCGTCTCAAGAAAATGAAACATAACGGAGGTATATAGTTTATTTAAGGTAAATTTGGTGTTGGAAATGAAGGTTGTGGGTGTGCACACGTAAAAACCCTCCATCTTATGCAATAGCTCGCAAATCGTATCGAATCCTTTTTTTAAAAAATTGCACTTGACATTATAAAGTTTAGTTAGCGTGTTACTAAAAATTATTTTGACAAACAATTTTGCCTACTAATAATGTTTGACTTTTTTAATTGAAGGTGTTAGTTGCATGAATAATCCTACTTTGTTAATCTTCAATTAGAAAAAACTAATGAAAAATTCCATAGTTGTGGTTGATATTTGTTACTATTGCTCGATAAAACTAGAGTTAAATATTAATTGAATAATTATGTTTTATCATATGCTCAATTGCTAATTTGAAACATGTCATAATTTCAACCTCTAAATAAAATTTTCTCAGAAATGTAAACGATACTCAATTTGTCAGGATATTAAAAGTTGTTCCAAATCAAATCCAAACAAAAAAAATTATTTATTTATCGATAATGGGTTAGTGCTTTAGCGGTTTCGATGATGATTTTGATTTTCTATTATCGCGTTAACGATTCTTGAAGTTTTGATGATAGTAAATTAAATAATTGTATTTATACCATTTGGCATATAAAGTTCTTAACTTAGAGTATTCAAGTCGCTATTCTACAATGTGATACTATTTATTTTAAAGCAAGATGCAATTTGTCTACTCATGTGTATGTTCATTTAGTTTGTCACTGATTTTAAATAATTATTTTATGTGTCAAATCTTAACTGTTAAACTGATAACCATTAATAACCGATAAGTCAAATATCCTAAACCTTGTATTACAGTTTATCATGTTTACAAAATGATAACCGATAAACCGAACCAACTAATAGACAGCCTAACCTTATTTCATATTAATACTCGAACAAAATGGTCGAAGTAAAGAATTAAAAGCCGTATGAGAAATTAAAAAAAGAAGTTAGTTTTGGAGGGAAAATAGAGAGTTTTAACGGTAAAATCAAGAATTCAACAAGTTAGTTTTCTATATATAAACATACATTTTTACTTTGTGTTGTCATAATTTCCATTAAATTCATTCTTCTACTGATCTCTCATAATCTTCTCTCTGAATTGATACAATGAATCTATTCAACAAATCGAAAAGAAATTCTAATGAAAGAATCTACTGTCGTACGTGCAGAAATCCAGTTGCACGCGTTCAAGATTATATTCGGAGGGTATGGATTCAAGTATAATGATTTCATGAATGAATTAAGTTATAGTTCTTGCAATGTAACTTATGATCTTGTAAACTTTGCAGGTTCGTCGAGGAACGATCATAATTAGAAGAGTGTAAGTCTCATGATTGATTGATTTTGTGCAACTTGTTGAGATCGATTTATTAATTTTCTGTGTATATATGTAGGTATAATGTTTACGTACCAGGCGATATGGATCATCTGTATGGATTTGTCACAGCTGATACTTACTGTGGCCGATGTGGAACGTTGATTGGGTGGAAATTTGTAAGATGGTTTATATGAACAAGAAGATTTTGTTGTTCTGTAAATAGTTTAAGTACTGAATTTGTTTTTATTTCGATGATCTCCAGATTGTAGTCCCACTAGGGTCCGTGGCTGCTAGAGCAGGAAGATTCATGTTGATGTCGTAAGTTTCTAATTATAAATTTGCAACAGAGTGTACATATAATTGTAACGGTTGATACAAATGATCGTGTTTTATGGCAGGAGAAAGGTTGCTTTCTGGGATGGTGTACCATTGCTTCGTTTAAATGCAAATCAAGGTTTAGGCGCTAATGAGCAAAATGCAAATCAAGATTTAGGCGTTAATGAGCAAAATGCAAATCAAGATTTAGGCATTAATGAGCAAGATGGAGACGCTAATGCTGCAGTTCAAGATGGAGGCGGAAATGAACAGAATGATGATCAAGATGTGGGCGCTAATGCTGTAGTTCAAGATGGAGGCAGAAATGAACAGAATGATGATCAAGAAGTGGGCGCTAATGCTGCAGTTCAAGATGGAGGCGGAAATGAACAGAATGATGATCAAGATGTGGGCGCTAATGCTGCAGTTCAAGATGGAGCTAGAAATGAACAGAATGATGATCAAGATGGCGGGGATCCAATGAACTGAATGAAGATTCGATGCAGAGCAGCTAATGATGTGAATGTAGACATTGATAGCCTACTCATGCTGACATACTGCTTATACAAAGTGCTATAATTCGTAATTGTGTGATATTCTGTTTCCATTTCTGTTTTGAGACTCAACTTTTTACACGTTCGAGCTCCGTTCTCTGTATGCTGTTTAGTTTGTTTTTAATTTCCTTTAACTGCAACAGCTATACAGTACTCAATGCTAGTGAACTTTTTGTTTGTTTTCTTACACTATTGTATATGGTGAAGTCACATTTTAACGCCTATTTTTCAAACTCGAGATATGTGTATGTATGCTATAGTTGTTGTAGGTAGCCGGTAGAATGTTGAAAAATTGGTACATTCTCCATAAAATTTAGTCGTTACAGTGAAATATTGTTATAAACGAATGGTTGTAATAATGAGGCTTGGTAGCCACCTTCATGTAGTAAGTTAGCAAAACTCATAGCCTTCATTGCACGTTCACGGTGTAACTGTTGTCTCAACTTCACGGAACCACTTACAATCTTCCGCCTTCACTGGACTCTCGCCGTGCTATCTATCTTGTTTCAACTTCACGAGACTAATCTCGATGTTCCATAGAACAGGTTTATAGATGCTAAGAGAAAGGGCCTATCTCAGCTGCTTTTCCTAAGCCAAAAGTTGCCTACAAGATACTCGGTGAAATTTCATTAGCTAAATTCTCGAGAGTAGGATAGTATGTATGTAGACCTTATCACTACCTTGTGGAAGTAAAGAAACTATTCCCGAGAGACCCTCGACTCAAGAAAATGATACAGGGTACATTTTTTCCCTATATAATTTTAAGGTCTAATACATAAATATGCCCTTTAACTTTGCCTCATTGAATATTGGAAAAAAATTACGCAACAAAGCAAATTTATACTTATTATTTAATTACTCATCATAGTTATAGTTTGCTATAATTACCACTCGATATTAACATTATACATTAATTAAGTGAGTTGACTTCGAGTTTGTATAATTAGTCACGTTTGTATATCAATAATTCGCCAGAATATACAAATACATATGTATGATATACAATTATTTAACCTATATACATATACCGTTCATCTGTCTCCCCTCTTTCGCTCGCCTCTCTCCTCCCTTTTCCAATCTCGCTCGCCTCTCTCCTCCCTCTCCAAATCTCGCTTGCCTTATATACAAATGTATATGTATAATATACAATTATACACATAGACAATTCACCTCTCTTCGCTCTCTGCCCTCTCTCACTCGCCTCTCTCCTCCCTCTCCCAATCTGGCTCGCTTGTCTCCTCCTTCTCCAAGTCTCGCTCGCCTCTCTCCTCCCTCTCCCACTCTTGCTTGTTATATATACAAATACATATGTATAATACACAATTATCTAACCGACATACATATACAATTCACCTTTCTCCCAGTCTTTTCGCCTTCTCTCTCCCAGTCTCGTTCGCCTCTCTCCTCCATATAACATGTAGCTACGAACAGTAATTATCAAACTATAGCTATGGAGAGTAATTACGCTATTTTTAAGTGGATGTATGTGAAAGTTCCCCTTTTATATTTATGTCGTCCAATTTTGAATGTGCATAAGTAGACAATTAAACTTGTATAGATTTGAACATAGACACACACGTCCTATATTGCATTAGTGTCCTATGTGTATTGTGCCACATATGATTAATGTGTTTACTTGTTAAACTTTATAAAAATTTAAGTGTTTATTTGTGCACACCCAGAGTTAGAGGTTAAAAATGTGAAATGAGAATTATAGAGCATATATATGTATCATGTCTAATTTTAAATATGAATATGGCTACTATTAGAAATTAAAAAGAAAAGAGTTTTGGAGGGTAAACAGAGAGTTAACGGTAAAATCAAGAATCAACAAGTTAGTCTTCTATATAAACATATTGTTTTCTCATCATTTCCATTATATTCGTTCTTATAAAATCAAGAATCAACAAGTTAGTCTTCTATATAAACATATTGGTTTCTCATCATTTCCATTATATTCGTTCTTATAATTCCCATCCATTTTTCTCTTCATTTGATATAATCTCCTCTATGAGTTGATACAATGATGATACTCAAGAAATCAAGAAGAAATTCTTTTGATAGCATCTACTGTTGTATGTGCAGAAATCCAGTTGCACGCGTCCAAGATTATATTTCGAGGGTATGTAATGATTCAAATATAACGATTTCTTCCAATTTGTTTCTTCACTAACAACAGAACTTATTTTCTTGCAGGTTCGTCAAGCAGGGGTCTTTAGTAGAGTGTAAGTCTCATAATTGATTTCGTGCAACTTGAGATTTATTTGTGTAGTCTAAGTTATATATGTGTATACATGCAGGTATAATGTTGTTGTATCGAATGATCATGAGAATTTTCATTTTGGAAGTATCATAGCCGATACGTACTGTGGTCAATGTAGAATGTTGATCGGGTGGGAATATGTAAGATGGTTTTCTTTCATGAACAAGAAGAATTTGTTGTTGTTTGTTGTTTTAAAATAGTACTAAATTTTTTCTTATTTGATCTGTAGATTCAAGTCCCACTATGGTTTGTGGTCAGAGATGGAAGATTTGTTTTGTTCTTGTAAGTTTCTAATTACTAATTTGCAACAGAGTGTACATATAATTTGTAAGGGTTGATATACAAATGAGTATTTTGTGGCAGGAGTGGGCTTTGTTACTGGGATGGTGTACCATTGCTTCATTTAAACGAAGAACAAGATTTAGGCGCTAATGAGGAAAATGCAGATCAAGATGGAGATGCTCATGAACAAAATGATGCTAATGAACAAGATGTGGGCGTGAATGAGGAAAATACTGATCAAGATGGAGACGCTACTGATCAAGATGGAGACTCTACTGATGAAGATGGAGATGCTACTGATCAAGATGGAGACGCTACTGATCCAGATGGAGACTCTACTGATGAAGATGGAGATTCAACTGATGAAGATGGAGACGCTACTGATGAAGATGGAGATTCAACTGATGAAGATGGAGACGCTACTGATCAAGATGGAGACGTTACTGATCAAGATGGAGACTCTACTAATCAAGATGTGGGCGTGAATGAGGAAAATGCTGATCAAGATGGAGACTCTACTGATGAAGATGGAGACTCTACTGATGAAGATGGAGACGCTACTGATCAAGATGTAGATGTTACTGATCAAGATGGAGACGTTACTGATCAAGATGGAGACTCTACTGATCAAGATGTGGGCGTGAATGAGGAAAATGCTGATCAAGATGGCGGCACTCCAATGAACTGAATGAAGATGAAAATGCAGACATTGATAGACCATACATGCTGATATTAGCTGCTAATACAAAATGCTATAATTCATAATTGTCTGTTTCCGTTTCTGTTGTAAAATTGCAGTACATATTACTACTTCAAGTTGGAATAAACCAATTGACACTGAACGTTTTACATGTTTGAGCTCCGTTGTCTATGTGCTGCTTAGCTTGTTTTTAATCTCCTTAACTGCACCAGCTATAGAGTCAATGCTAGTATGTTCGTGATGGAATATAGGATGAAGTTTCATGCCTTCACGATACTAATCTCGATGTTCCATTTAACAGGTTTATAGTGCCGAGAGAAAGGGCCTATCTCAGCTACTTTTCCGAAAGATAATTTAAGATATAAAGTGTATTTCTTGTAAGTAAATAAAAAGAAAATGAAACAACAACATACAAAGTAAAATTCCATTACCTCAAGTGGGATAAGTAATATGCAGACCTTATGTGGAGGCAAAGAGACTATTTCCGAGAGACCCTCGACTCAAAGAAAATGAAACATATATAATTTTAAATCAGTTGCAACATAAAATGTGAATATGACTAGTATCAGAAATTAAAATGAAGTTAGTTTTGGAGGGTAAACAGAAAGTTAACTGTAAAATCAAGAATCAAGAAGTTGGTTTTCTATATAAACATTTTGTCTTCTCATCATTTCCATCCATTTTTTTTCATTTGATATAATCTCCTCTCTGAGTTTGATTCAATAAAGTTGATACAATGATGATAATATGCGACCACACCAACAAATCAAGAAGAAATTCTAATGAAAGAATCTACTGTCGTACGTACAGAAATTCAGTTGCACGCGTCCAAGATTATATTTTGATGGTATGTAACGATTCAAATATAATGATTTCTTCCAATTTGCTTCATGAATTAAGAACAGAACCAACTTATTTTTCTTGTACACTTTGCAGGTTTATCCAGGAGGGATCTTTAGTAGAGTGTAAGTCTCATGATTGATTTCGTTCAACTTGAGATTAATTTCTGTAGTCTAAGTTATATATACGTGTAAATATGCAGGCGTAATGTTCTTGTATCGGACGATGTGAATCATCATTTTGGAAGTACCATAGCCAATACTTACTGTGGCCAATGTGGAACGATGATCGGGTGGAAATTTGTAAGATGGTTTACATGAATAAGAAGATTTTGTTGTTGTTTTTTTAATTTAGTAAGTTCTGATTTTTTTAAAAAATTTGATCTCCAGATTGAAGCCCCACGATGGTACGAGTATGTTAGAGAAGGAAGATTCATTTTGAAATTGTAAGTTTCTAATTACAAATTTGCAACAGAGTGTAAATATAACTGTAAGGGTTGATACAAATTGAGTGTTTTGTTGCAGGAGCGAGCTTAGTTTCTGGAATGGTGTATCATTGCTTCATTTAGGCGCTAACGAGCAAAATGTTGATCAAGATTTAGGCGCTAATGAACAAAATGATGATCAAGATGAAGACGCTAATGAACAAAATGTTGATCAAGATGGAGATGCTAGTACGCTTAGATTCATTTTGTTATTGTAAGTTTCTAACCACAAATTTGTAACAGAGTAAACAGATAATTGTAAGGGTTTGATACAAATGAGTATTTTTGTGGCAGGAGCGTGGTTACGTTCTGGAATGGTGTATCGTTGCCTCATTTAAACGAGGAACAATATTTAGGCGCTAATGAGCAAAATACTCATCAAGATGGAGATGCTACTACGATTAGATTCCTTTTGTTCTTGTAAGTTTCTAATTACATATTTGCAACAGAGTGTACACATAATTGTAAGGGTTGATACAAATGAGTAACTGTTTTCGTGGCAGGGGCGTGGTTACGTTCTGGAATGGTGTACCGTTGCCTCATTTAAACGAGGAACAAGATTTAGGCGTTTATGAGCAAAATGCTCATCAATACTTCAGACGCTAATGAGGAAAATGCTGATCAAGATGGAGACTCTATTGATCAAAATGATGATGCTAATGAACAAAGTTCTGATCAAGATTTAGGCGTTAATGAGGAAAATGCTGATCAAGATGGAGGCGTTAATGAACAGAATCATGATTCATAGGGCGGCACGCCAATGAACTGAATGAAGATGTAGACATTGGTAACCTATTCTGCTTATACGAAATGCTAAAATACATAACATTCTGTTTTCATTTCTGTTAGTTAGTTCAGACGCGCTGCAATAATGAGGCGTTGTTATGTATGTATAGTTACACTGGAGTCTGGACATTTAGATTTTTTTTTCGAGGTTCAAGAAGAAGGAGAGGAACCACAGCCCAATGGTGCTTTTACGAAAGTATGGTCACCGGGGGCTAATACCTTCTCGAGACTGTCGAACCTAAAATCCACTTTTCATCTCATTTGGCTGTTATAAATGAAAATATAGTAGGTACTGTTGTCATTGTTGTTATGGGTAAAATGTTGTTAAGTAAAATAAAATATAATATGAAAATCGATTCTTCTAAAAAATCATAGCATTATAATTAAATGTCGTTATAAGTTCAGAAGAATCTGATTGTATCTGCATAGTCAAGCTTAATAGGAATTAATTTCATTTTATGAGCTTTGTGTAATACAAAAGTATTACATTATTTGTATGTTCTTCAAAACAAGGGGAAAATGACCTAATATAATTTTTAATTTTGTCATTTGGAGCTGATATGTCCCTCGTGAAAGTGGCTTACATATATCCTCACTGTTATACAAACTGATCGTATATATGATATACCCCTAACATTACAAAATGAACTCACATATACACTTTATTTAACGGAAGTGAAAAGTTAAATTTAAATTTATATATTTGACTTTAATTATTTTTAAAAAAATTTATATAGGATCCTTCTAGCAAAGTTTAAGATATATTTTATTCTTTTTCATCATAAATTGATTTTCGACTTCTTTGATTATCATTATTTAAATTTATTATTCTTATTGCATTTTTGTCTTGTCATTTGTTAATGTAAAGAAAAAATTGAAAAAACTAATCTTTTGGTGGCTATAATATGATGTAAAACTATTTTTTCAACTATATTGTACTTTTAGTTTTTGTATTCGAAAAAAAAATTGAATTATTTATAATAAATTTTATAAAAACATTAGTGAAACTTAAGTAACATAAACCATCAAACTATTAAATTTAAATTAGTTAATTAAACAAAAAAAAGTTAAAAAGAATATGTATGAGGAGGAATAAATAAATCCATATGGAATTATATTTTTTTTAAAAAAATTATAAAAAATTTATGTTAGAATTAAAATTTTCACTTCAGTTGGAGGAAAGGATATACAAAAAGAAGTCAAAAAGAATATGTATGAGTAGGATTAAATATGCCCATATGAAATTATATTTTAAAAAGAAAATTATTAAAGAATTATGTTAGAATTAATTTCTTCAATTCAGTTAAAGGAAAGGATATATATGAGTCACTATAGTTTTTTTAATATCTAAATTTTTGCTTAAAATATCAAATTAATTTAATTTTAAAAATTAGTCAAATTAACTTTTGAAAAACGTAAACAAATGGAGGAATATTTATTAAAAAATAGAAATAGTAAAATACTAACTGATATACATTCAGGGCCGGTCTATGTTATTGAAAATAAAGGCCTTTGCCTTAGGCCCCCAAATTTCGTGGACCCCAGTTTTTTTTGTCAAGAACAAATCATGTGTTGAAAATTTTATAGAAAAAATTGGTTATTTATGATAATAAATATAATTTTCAAAAATATATTATTTTATCCTCTTTAACCTCCTTTGTACTTTCTAAAAATAAGAATTAATAGTGAAAAGTGTTGAAAAAAGTGAATTAAAAATTCTTTTTTGTTTCTTTTTAAATTGTAGTTTCAAACATTACTACAAGTATATTAAAATGAGATATACCAAGTCATCAACTTCTTTAGTCAAATTCTATGATTCAAACTCTTATCTTTATTTTATATGTGTCAACTAATTACTTATAGCATTATGTTAACAAATACATATAATAATTGTCTCACTAAAATAACGTTTTTCAATATTAAGCTGATAAAATCTTAACTAAAACTAATAATTGAAAAAAAAACAATGTTATATACTGATAGGTTTCATCTAAATAGTGTAAGAAAAATAACTTTTGAATAAATACGTATATTAAATTTATTTATATTTTAAATCGCTAATTAAAATTTTGCTTTAGTCTCCCAATTACGTTGAGTCACCATTGTATTTTAATTTAATGCATATCCAAACCCAAAAAGGAAAAAAAATAAAAGTAAGACCAACTTCACCATTGTATTTATTTTAGTCAGAGAAACGAAACTAAAAAGGAAAAACAAAAGTTAATGCCATTAAAATGTGCAATAAAATAATAAATGTGATACTTAATTAGGAAGATATTGTGAATATTCATATTTTCACAACCTCACTACATTATTCTATTTAAACATGACATATTGCTCATATTTTAACATCACCATCCAATCAAGAGTGAAAATAAACAAACTAATAATGGGAGAATCAGCATCAAACATGAAATTGGGATTGAGAATTGTGATATTATTGATGATGATTTTTGCAACAAAAGGGGAAACTGATATACAAAGATGTCTTCGTGCTTGCAAGGCAAAATGTGGTATTGATAAAGAATGTTATAGTAAGTGTGTAGATCGTTGTGTTGTTCCTATGAATGTGCAAAATCAAATTCACTATTGTAAGATTGGTTGTTTTTCTGTTAAATGTTCTAAATTTGATGTAAATGATAAACAAAGAGAGACTTGTTTGGAGGATTGTTCCAACAAGGTTTGTTCTTTTAAAAATTAGTGATGTATTTTGTTGTTGTTTGAAATTAGAACATGGTGTATCTTCATTCTTTTCTTTTTTTAAACTTTAATTTTAAAGTATATAAAACAAAAAAATATATAATTTATTGGATGAGTTATTAAGAATATTGAATTTATAATACACACAAAAAGCTGAATATAACTTAATTATACATGAAATATACACTAACTAAAAACTCTCGATCAACTCAAAATCTCCTCTAAATAAATCCAAAATTTAAATATAAAACGTATTTTGAAATCTATATATAATTCACTTGAAACGTTCGTCTTTTATGACGATAAAAGGAGGAGGAAAAGAATCCATGAATAGTGATTGGATAGAAGAAGAAGAATGATTGGGCCAATTTTAATAATTTCGAAACATGGGCCAATTTTTCGGTAGAGCAAAGGGCTGAATGACCACTTGAGAGAAAAGGATCAAAAATCACTTTTAAACTTGATGAAAATTATTAGTTTTATTTTGGAACTATCGATGGTCTTATAAAAATTATTTTACTTGACTCACAAAACTTAGATACACTCCTGATATGCAACATGACGTACTAAGTAGTCTCCAACTCTTGTAGGAGCATGAAGTTCTTAATAAAAATCGAGAGAAGTATTGAAAACACCCCTAAACTTAACTAGAATTTAGGGGTGTATTTCACTAATGTTGTGAGACCAGGGGTGTATTTAGCTTCAATCAGTCAGGTAAAGGGCTTCAAAATAAAACTAACAATTTGCGTCAAATTCAGGGTTAGTTTTTTATACTTCTCTCTTTTCCCAAACAAAATATATCAAAACAACATGTATACTATATATACACTAATATATATTTATCAATATATTGTGATACTGGTTTTACCATAATATAAAGATTTGAACAGTTTCAGTTGTTCTCCACCTCTTCACAAATAGGCATTATTATACTCATACAATTATCATCATCTAAGCCATCATAAAATACACAAAAAACCATTTCACAATTCTTTAGGTTACTTGTGATAGAAATTAAAGTATGGCATTATGGAGCATAGAGGTTGAAGAGGAAAATAATGTAGCAATAGTCAATAAAATTAATGATTTTGGTGTGATAACATTTATGCCCCCTGTGTATAGGGGTTGAATTTGGTTATTATGAAATTCTAAAAAAAAATGTTATTTATGTAATATCTAACAAATATCATTACACTAAAAACAATATTTAACGATAATCAATTAATGATAATAGCTTAATTGGTGTTGAGTATTTTTTTTAGAGGCAATTAGCTAGTATCATTTGTAAATGTCTTTAAAGCCTATAACGACATTGAATCTAATGACAATTACCTAATGCTGATAAAAGATTTAACACTCTTTATTAATGTACATATTTAGTGTCATTAAAACTTATTTTTGTTGCGAGGCAATACTCGGCTTATACGTGAAAAGATCAAAATTCATACTTATAGCTTCGGTCATTTCCTAAGATCTAAAATTATATATCAATATACATGTATTATGACATAATATTCATATTAATAGTAATTATTTATTTAAGGGAAGAAATAAAAAAATTAAATGTTGAAGGGCTCACTTAAAAGAATATCTGCTTGGATAAGGAAATCCAACTAATTTTTGGGACACATCAATAAATGTTGAAAATAAATGTAACCTATGAATTAATTAGAACCAAGATCACATCCTTGAGACTTCTATATGTATTTTTTAATTCAACAAAAAAAAAAAAAAAACGTGAAATAGTTTTAATTCTCATCACCAATATTTTTGTCAATATAATGTTGACACGTTTTCAACTATTAATGCGGCTCATTTTCAGTGTTTTCCTCCGAAGGACAGTCGATATTTCGTTTTCATCTTATTTTGAAGTGATTTTTAATAATTATTTATTTTTTAAATTATTCGTTTTTATTTTATTTATGTTCATACTTCTCATTTAATGAAAATTGCGGATCAAATCCAATTTTGACAGGACAAAATTTAGAGATTTTTTACTTTATTTGATATATATTGAGTAGTATATAATTTATAAGGTATAAGTTTAGAGAATTTTTGTCATGGACATAAATTTTATAGGAAAAAGTTTTGTTCAAGAGAAATAACTTCGTGAGATCTGAAATATTTATTAGTGGTATAAGTTTTTCTTGTGATTTTTTATTTTATGAGATATTTTCAATTATATTTTTATTAGTTAAATTATTCAAAGATAAAATTAAAGACCAGGGACAAAAAGCGCCCTATTTTGGGGCACTCGTGCGGATGTGGCAGCATGATGTGTGTATACCTAATATATAAGATTCAATTAATTTAAATTTGTATCATTAAAAGTAAATAACTATCTAACAATAATAATGTTCATATCCAACTATGTTCAAATTCAAAACATTTTGATTAATTATGAGGCTCCATATATAAATCATAAGTTATTTATGTTATTAGAGAAGGATATAGTGTCCTCGTAATATATTTAATTTTTTGGACATGGCGTGACACAAAATAGAGATTTTTTCTATCATAAATTAATGATTTTTTTTTAGTTATAAAAAATTATTTCTAACCTTTTTTTTTATAAGACATTATTTCACAAATTGACTTTTGAAAGTGTAACATGTCAGTTTAAAGTAGACAAATTGAACTTTTGAAAGTATAACATGTCAACTAAAAATAGACGGAGGAAGTAATCATTCTGAAGTGAATTTTCAATGAGAAAATAGTGATTTTGTTTTAGTGACAACGTACACAATTTGTGTTTATTAATGTTTGTAAATGAAATCCAAATATTCTTACGACTATCAAGTATCAATTGCTAGTACAAGCCTTTTAATGCTTGATGTTTACTCTTTTTAATGTTTTCCAATTGTACTATTCAATCATGTGGTTGTCAATGTGTTGATTCTTC